CAAGCTAGAAGACTGTTCACCTTTCGCGACTCTATTGTGAGCGTGGAGGCTGCTATAGCCGCTCAAAGTGCTAGTTCTAACTCCTCCTCAGTCGGACCGCCTTTACTTGCTAGATGTCCTCCGACGGAGGCCACTCACTTGTTCTTAGTTGGGGCGGCGGGCATTGCTAATGCCCCTGGATAATTCTGCTCTCCTTCATTACAGTTTACTCATTGGAGGTATATACATTCAATTTCGGCCAAGGGCTTTGAACGCGTAAAAAACACGAGTGACGCAATTTTCGTGATGCAAAACCACGACGCACAAAAGGTGCGCTACCGTAATCACAAATTCAGACACCGTGTTGATAAAATTCCTTTTTCCTTCCCAGAGTTTTTCCTCTGCGTTTTTGTTGTTTTCTTTTTGTATTCTTTTTTTGCACTGGATGATATCAACTACTGCGAGATGTGATAGAGAGATTTGTGAGCTAGGGGCTGCACAGAGACCGCAGCGGGGGTGTTAAACTGTGAGGCGGCAGCGATTTTTGTTTTAGGTCGTTTTACCGAGACGCTTCTTGCCTTGTCTTTCTTTCTTTTGGGAGATTACTTATCAGCTGCTCGTTTCGTAATTCGAACAGCAGTATCTCACGAGGACTTTTTCATCGACGCGGAGCGTCTTATACAGTCACGTACCAATCAAGTATATGCTGACATGTGAAAAATTGGCGAAAAAATACCAGAAAGTCGGTTTTGGACGCTAGTACGTTTACGACGTATTCGTTAAGCTTTTGGTTAGTCAATATGTCCGTAGGACGAAACCTCAAGAAACTTGAAGGAAGTCTGAAAAACCCATCGGATGAGGGGTTATACAAGGGAAAGTCCGTTGAGGAGCTGGCACAAACAGCAGAAAAGGTATGAAAGCTGTCCTCTACAACACCAACGGAAAGAATGCGCTGCAAAATTTCAGAAAAGAAACGAATATCAGAGATAGTCGACGGGATGGCCCACAATGTCTACGCCGCGCGCGAAAAGCGAGTGGATGAAATCAGGCGACGAGCATTTCGGGTCGCCAGCGACTGAACCGGCTGCCGATCAATTGCCCGTGAAAGCAAGTTGATAATCTGTTATACTTGCCTGCTAGATGGAATTGGGATTGGGTCCCCATTTTTTTGATGCGTTTTTCACAGGAAAGAGACAATCAGAGAGAAAGAACGGTACACAGAAGTAGTTGTGTTTCTTACGATAGTGTATGGAAGACTGCTTGAACTGGTCATTAGCAGAACATGGGTGGGCTTAAGAGGAAACATTGAGACATTACAGGCGTCGGCTTAGGTTTAGGACATAGAAAAGAAGGCTCTTCCTCCTGGCACTCTGAGATGTGTTCGCGTGAAGCTATGTGCATTCAGCATTCATACTTCGACAGCAGCGGCGATCGCCGCGATCGTACGTGGCAGAGCGCGCCCCATTGCTATTATGGACCACTCGCTTGATAAATAAGGGAATCTGATTTTGAACCCTCTTTTCTCTCGAATAATGGGCTACTACCCAGCTTGATAACTTGACGCACTTTCTATACATAGAGCGGATTCTGGAATAGTGAGCCGTAAGCGAGGTTTCCACTTATTCTTTTTAGGTCTGGATAAGGCCAACTCCATCTCCTGGGTGAGCTTCTTTTGTTTCTTTTGTTTTTATTGTTTCAATTTATACAAGCGCCTCAAAAGTTCCTATCGTCTGAACTGTTCCAACTTCCAAAACATTTATAGTTTACAAGTCGAGTTCAAACAACGAAGAAAAAAAACAGAAAGAAACTCACCTAGGAACCAAAACACTAATCATTTTACGCAACATCAACAGGTGAAAACTTTATAACCTCATGTATAAGCTCGACGAATGAAAAAAGAAACAATAAAAACCTACCCTAAATGAAGCTCTCACGCTTTTTGCTCATTTCTATCCTGAATCAAGAAAGAAAATAGAAAACAAAAGCCATTAAGTTGGGTTCACCTTTCTTTGTGTCAAACCAAGCTTCAGTACCTAAGAAAATTGCAGTTAAAGGAAAAAAAAGCATGAAATTGAGTCGCTTCTTCCCAAAAGCCTTCGGAGCGGTCCAAGTAATAGCGTTGGGGCTGCGCTGTACCATGTACCGACGATCGCGGCGATCGCCGCGATGGCCGCTGCTGTCGCGAAGTAGAGCGCTGTCTAACAGGGGAATGGTTTGAACTTCCCATGGAACTTTGAATGAAGACCTAGCCGAGGACATCGATAGAGCCTCGAATGCTGTTTACGAATATACAGATCAAAAGTGCTATGGGGACTTTCCAGAGGAGCTCTGGGCTAAGTTTGCGAAAACTCAGTTTTGGCTCGTAAGCGCTGCTGATCGGTCGTTGGTCAGTACCACCGTGGCCTAAAGGTGACGGTCTCAAAGCCAAATGCTCGTGAGTTTGCATCCGTTGGCGCGAAATTTTTGCTTCGTCTCCTATAAGAGCTTTTACTCTAATTTTCGAAATTCTTCCGAGTTTACGGCCCAGCAGAGCAAGTAGATCAAGTAGATCAAGTATATGTATGGATTTGATCACTATTTGCCCTCTCTGAACCCATTGGAGGCGCAGTTTGACGACGGGGCAGGGGGGCATTTTGAACTTTCGTTGCTTCACTAGTTTTCCTGTTTACAAGTCTCACTCTGGTGAAACCTGTGAACTCTTGTGAAGCTGGAGCAAGCTCGTCAAGCCATCATGGTAAAACCTGTCAACTCGAGAAGAGGCTGTCTAGATGGGTCGACACGTCGATGGGAAGTATCAAAGTACAAAATGCCCCTCCCCCCGTCGTCAGACTGTGCTCTCATTGGACAATCCAAAGTTTTGACGAGAAACTCGTTCCTGGGGTATTTTGACCCTCTGAACACGAGTACCACATCCGTTTGACGAGAAAATGCTTGTAACATTTCATTTTGTTGTGGTCATCAACTGATCTGGAATAAATTGTGATTCTGGCCAAAACTTCGAATTGTCGGATGGGTAATGTGTTCACAGGGGCAAATAGTGATAACCGTACTCGATCGAGTACGTCATATACCTGACCTACTTGATCTACTTGCTCTGCTGTGGCCATGAACTCGCAAAAATCTAGAAAATTAGAAAAATTCCAATAGGAGAACGAAGCAAAAATTTTTGCCCAACGGTATGCAACCCACGAGCATTTGGCTTCAAAGCGAAACCGTTACCACTAGGCCACGGTGGCACTGCCAAATGATCGATCAGCAGCTTACGAGCCAAAACTGAGTTTTCGCAAACTTTGGCCGCCCAGAACTCGTCTGGGAGGCCCTGTGGCACTGAACCAGCACCTTCAACCGGACAGAACAAGAGAAATTGCACGGCTGTATGTCGGGCGGTTAGATCACTGAATCTTGGTCTCAGTATTGTGCCTGGAACACTGTTCGAGAGTACGGCCAGTTTGGGCCTGATTTTGTGAGCAAAAGTGACATTTTCGTAGTTATGTGGCATTATCCATTTGTTCGTCGAAGTTCTGCCGTGGAGAAACAGGCAATACACGCCGAACACTAACGGTTTTCTCGTCTGAATAGAGCCGCCCATAGTGCAAAAATTTGCCGCCATGATGATTACCCTCTTGCGACCACGTTACTCTCCATGATAGCATTGTTGGGCGTTCATTGGCATTCATTCGAAGCTGGAGTTTGTGAATTTCAGTTTACATACAAGACCACTGGTATTTTATCTAGGGTCCGAAGCGTTTATAGCCCTGAATACATGTCTCAATCGGAGAACATTGCTGCTGCACGCATCGACTCGATTGTGCGTTCGTGCTTCTGCAAGCAAATGGCGCACCCAAAATGACATACCCTCTCGTCCATCCTAATTTTTCTGGCATAACTTGGCCACCGGTCACAGCAGTAATGTCAAGTTCGCGAAGAAACTGACATCGGTCTAGTTGTGTGATCAGACGTTCAATGCTTGACTACATCCATCCGCTTTCCTCGTGTAGGATGAACATCGTGGCACCCTCCTCGGCTAAATCTCTTCTTCGTTCTTCCCTCTTTGGACTTATGCACTAAATATTCCACATTATGTTTTCAGGACTTTATGCAACTGCTGGTCCAACTCAGATGCTGATGTTCAATGCTAGCCGCGCACTTTGCTCGTATGGCGCCCAACCAATATATCGTGATATTCATGTTCCATTGGTAGCATCGGAAAATTTTAAGACGTATTTCGACATGTTATATAATGTACATGCCACAGTGTTGTCTTCAAGTAAGAGCAATAAAGTTATACGAACAGCAAGGTGTTTTGAGGCCAGAAAGAGCATAGATGTTTTTGGAAAGCTCCAAATTTCGACAGCCAGCTAAAACAAGCCTTGCTTGAGCAGCAGTTATTTACACAGCAACATAATTTCTCCTATAGAGGAATTTTCAAAAAAAATTCCGGGTCTGAGTTTTGCTCGTGCCATACTCGATCGGTTAGCCGATCACGCCTTTTGATTCTGACACAGTTGAAAAAGAAAAAAAATGTATTACTGGGTGAATGACCCTTGTTTCTAATGACAGTCACAGACAATACAAGAATTTTATTATTCTCCTTACCCAAATTACAGCAATATCAGAAAGAGCAAGTAATAATAGAATAGCAGCAAATAACAGCGACTTCAGAAGTTGAGTATCAGTGTGCAGGTAGACGAAACGTGGGGACGGCAGCTCGGGAGTTGCAGGAGCGGACGATGGGGTGAAACGGCAGCTTGTTGACTCGGAAGACTCGAAGACGAAGACTAAGACTTTCGAAATCCGGCGGCCCCTTATATAGGCCGCTTTCGCGCCCATATCGATGTGCGACTGTTTTGGCGCCCGTCGATCCTCGGGCTCGATCACAATTTGACATGCCCGGGGGGAACAAAAATACATGGCTCCACTCCATGTTATGGTGAGGAATCACAAAAAAACTACTCAAAGCTCCTGCAACTTCTGGGCTGCTGCCCTCATCTTTATCTCGCAAACGACAAGCGGCCCTTTTCCTATGTTTCCGGTTCCCCGAACCAGAGGCTACCTCCTTCGAAGGAGCCGGCTCTCCGGGCCCCTTCTTCCTCTGCGCTCTAAACGGGGTGAGCTTCAAATCACTCCCACTGCGGCCCTAGCCGCTGGGTATCAACTACAGT